TCAGGCAGTATACTAGTGTCAACCGCCGGTCAAAAGTCGTTTCCTTGCCCTTTTGATTGAAGCGAGCATGCGACAAGAAAGTACTAAGAACGATTAAACGAAAAATATGACAGTAACAGTCGCTGCCGCTAATGCTCGCGTGTTCTGAGACTACGGTCGCGACTGCCCGACTGAGAAAGAATAAGAATGAAGACGGCGCATGGCTTCGCCGGCGTATCTTCCTTCTCACACTATTAATTTACACTCGAACTGATATCCGCCTTGATTCTTATGGCCCACCTTATTCATAGTTGTTTGAAGTAAACCTGACTAACTTTAACCAGATTCTTATCTGAGCGACACCGAAGCACCACCGGGGCAGCCCCGGACACCGGAATGTTTGATGCCAACATAAAATTTCACGGCAGACCGCTCTGCTGAACTAGCAAGTCCACTTTTTTTCCGTGTCTGAAGATGTTCCTAGGAACCTTAAAGTCAATTACAAGAATTGTCTGCTAACCGCCCACGTCTTCGACACACCAATCTTGATGACCCGTGACAATCCTCACACACGAGACGGACCTCTGCTGACATTAATCCAAGTTTTCTTTCGGTCTTTGAGTGGCTTTTGAGGACAGTTGTGCCAACAAGAGAGACTTTCGTCGCGGCTTCCGCACCCCACCTCGGCCGCCGCCAGCCCACGTACTGTATACCAACATTTCTCAACTCGGACGACCCATCTACACTTAATCCACTTTATTCCGGTCTTCGGAGTGCTCTGGGACCGTTTTGCCGATCTTTTGTCTGACTCCGCCCACCTCGGGCTGGCTCCGCCCCCAATTTTTTTGTGCCTTCACAAGCTCTTCACCGAACGGCCCTCTGCTGGCCTGTATCCACTTTTTTCCGCGGTCTATGCGGGATGATAGCGGCTGGACCCGGGTTTTGCAGGCTCTTTGTTGGTCTGCACGCCCACCTCGAGAGCAGCAGGCTCGCCCACAATGTTTTCGCCCCAATCCCCACCGACAACACTCTGCTTCGACCATTAGACCACTATTTTCGAAAAGTGTCTGAGTGTTTCTTGGAACCACTGACTAGCAACTTTTGAATTGTTACAGCTGCAGATATAAAACAATCATCCGAGACTCACTGTGGCGGGAGTCTGCAACACAACTTTGCGGCCTAATAATTCTCCAGATATTGACAAAAATTTACACTGGAGAGTTTGTTTGCGACTGTCATTCCAAACCATCTTGCGCCGGAGTTACTGGAATTTCTGCGAGAAGCACAGGAACCGCCACCATAGATATCGCCGCCCATTTATGACGTGTCTCCACCACTTAGTACTGCGCACTCATTACTAACCTTATCCCCTTTTTCCATGCATTACAGCTGCTTCTGAAATCGAAATTATAGATTACTTCTTCACTAGCGGAAGCCCACGAAAATTTCGAGCAGTGACCCAGCCACTGTGGCGAGCTTCCCATATGTAGCTTTTTATTTCTTGTCCCATGCCCTAGCATCCCCACCTTGGCCCGACCTCTCCAAGTCGTTCTTCAGGTCGAACCGAATTTCCGGACAGACAAACTTACAAACAAACAAACAACAAACAAAAAACAAACACGAGAGCGAATTAATATATATGGGTGACATACTCTTTGCTTGCCTTAACAACGTGGCAGAGAGCGGTTTGGCAGCGCGCCAAGCTCTTCTCCTGAACCCGAGCCCTTAACCGCGAACGAACTATACTATTCATTCACGCGATTACACCCAATATATGGGTTTTGAAGACAAAATAGTGGTAAATCTTGTTGGCGTGCAACAAACCTGACCGTCGAGACTTTGAAACACGAGCGACAAACAACTGTCAAAACATACAAAGGCTGCTAGATTCGATATGAAGAATAATTCGAAAAAGAAGCGAGACAAGGCAAGAGACAAAAAAGGGAGAAAACAGGTGGACGACTTGGAAGACAAACGAGATGACAAAGTTATGAATAAATGGAACGCGTCCCTACAGTGTTCATGGATATATGATCGCTGACATATACCCCTCCCCTTCCCCTCACCCCCCCCCCCCATAGGTGGGAAACCTTCAAAGAGTGGCATTCCTTCGACTTATGACGGTCGCAGTGATGCCTTCACTGACAGTCGAGCTGCGAAAATTGAGGCACCTCTGACTGGACTGGACAGTATAATGGATTCTATCAATCAAGGTTACGTACAAGGTGTCAGAGGAAAGTATTTCAATAACAATAACAATATAGTACAATAATAACATCAAAGAGGAATTGTTGAGAGATGACTTTTCCCCGAGAAAGACTGACAGAAGTCACCGTGAGTGATGTTCGATTTTTAAACACGTAATTGAAACACTGTGATGTAGGTTACTATGTGGGAAGAAGAAGACATTCAAAGGGATTATAAAAAAAGCTACAGAATGTCGTGCCATGGAAAAACTGCTTTACGATGTCGAATGCAATATGAACAGCTGGAAAAATAAGATGGTGAAAACAGTTCAAAAATCGGAGAGCGTGAGGATGCTTCAAAACAAGGGAACATTTGAAATCAGTAAGAGCACCATCAATGAATAAGGCGCAAATGAACTTGAAAGCTCAACAAGGAGGGAACGATTGGAAAACAAAACCTATTCAAGCTGAAGAAAAACGAGCCACTGTGATATTTAGTTAAAGACAGCCGTCTTAGAGTCTGGCAGCAGTACAACATAGCACACCAGAATGAAGCAGATACCGAAAAGAATGGGATAAACGGGCCTATTGAAGGTCACAGTAAGAGGAGGCTCATTTTCTTGCAGTGGTTCCTTTGCAACCAGACCCTTTGGAACAAAAGTCATGAAGGAATAGGTTGAATGAGTCTCTCTCAATTCTAAAGGCATATTCTGCGGTGACAATATGTGCGGGGACAGAAAGTATCCTCAAATTTTCTTGCTGCCTTGAAAGGAGTGATCTGCCTATGGGGAACACATCATGGTCCTCCGACCCCGTCCATTCGGTTGGTGCGGAATGTATCCTTAAAGTCCGCCAAATGTGTTGGTAAGAGCGATTCTAACCAAAGATTTGCGCAAATATGAATCCTCCCCCCCTCTGATGAGTGGCAAACTAAGGGAACCTCGGAAGGACACAACGCTTACTGTTAAAACAAAGTGGCATGTCCGAATGCTTTACATTGATAGCTTCATAGCAACGCGTGATTTTAGCCTCAAGCCATACTAGAGCGCTTATGAGCCACTAACTCCGACGACCTCTTCCGGCCTCACCTTGGAAAACCACTACATGACGTCATAGGAAGGTAATAAAACGCAAAACAACACACAAAGTTAAATTGGTTAAACACCGGAACCCTGTCATCCTCCTACCGGATGTTCAGTTGGTGATATTTGAGCAAAAGGTTCTGCAGGTCCGCTAGGAAACAACCAAGCATTTATTCAAGCGGATTAGTCAGCGAAAATACTCAAGGGAAGGGAGAAAAAGTGGCAGAAACTGAGGAAATTGATGGGTGCAGAAATTCGCGCCAAAGCGATTCTCCTTGGGTCAGGGCAGTTTGTGTGAAGCGCGGCCGTCGTGGCATTCTATTTTGGGGTCATGATAGCCCGTTGGGGTTCAGAACGCTTACGTGCTTGATCTACTTTTTTTTCTAAATCACTTTCCATCATTTCGTAGACTTCCTGTGTCGTTTATCCTCCTGCTGTTTCTCCTTTGCCTTTTTCTCAGCGCTTCAGAAGTTTTTATTCGTGAACATTGGCGATTTTTTATGCGCCCATTTCCAGCTTGATCCTTGGGATAGGGTCTTATCACTACGATTAAATTCGAACACTTCATATCATATGAGCAATATGGTGGATGAGATTTCGTTCGTGAATTTCGTTTTGTTCCTTTTCAAGAGCTGTGCGCGCTATGCCAATAGCACCTAAAGCCTTCACAAAGGGCAAAGTTGGGGCATTTTGGTATAGAACATTTGAGACATTCAAAACCACTGAATAATGCCTTTTATGAATCTAGGAAATGCTAAGAGGGGGGGAGGGGAGGGTAACGATCGCTCGGCAGCATCTCTGTATTCCTTCCCCAAATCAAGGCTTGGGCTTAATGGAGATTATATATGTCTTCTCTGCAAGGCTAACCCTCGGCAGCTTTGTTTGTCTGGGTTCTGAGCTTAAAGGCACTTCCCGCGATCAAGTGATTAGCGAAATGCCTCCGTGTATTTATAATCGTTGTACGTACTCGCTTTCGTCACTCGAAATGACGATATAAGGAAGCTAGAGACGCGTGATTATTGCAACCATTGCAACCACGATTACTTTCACTCTGCAAGACAACGGCTTACAAGCGGAATTGCGTGTGTACATAGCGTTGCCTGGAGCGTCGTAGGGCGATTTCCTATGCTCTTGCCGGGAATTGGTTGCACGTAGAATCCTGCTAACTTGTCCTCATGATAAACTCGTCCAAGACATGACTGAGCACCTGCTACCTGATAGACTTGATGAATTGTCTTCAAGTTTTTTTTCCTCTTTTTTACTGACGTTGCCTTACACAACGTACTGAATAAGGAATAAAGAATAAAAGGGATACAGAGGTGCGTGTGAATGATCCCCCAACTGTGGTGGGCCTCCTCCTCCCGTGTAGTAATGAATTAGTTCATCACTCCGAAACTTTTTCCCCTAGAATTTCGTCTCATCTGCCTTCACCAGATGCTGTTTGTGGCTATGTTCATACTCGGCGCACGTGAAGCGTTTGTTTCGCGCAAAAATCAATAGATTGATGCCTATACTTTCCTTTTCGCACAAAACGCCGACAAAAAGGGTGAACGCAGCCCAGCACTAAAAGGAAAAGAGGAAATGGCTTGGAAACGGGGCTAAGATCACTGTAGTTCCGACGAAGTTTTTCACCGTTTGGGCTTCAAAGATGGGTTTTTCATGATACGAACTAGAAAAGTATAGCTGATTAGACGTACTATAGCTTTCGGCCTTTCGAGCGTTTACCTCCATTCAATCTAGTATTACTTTCAGAATGCCGGATGACAACGACATTATCGTCCTTGATTCTGATGAGGAATCAGAGAGCAAGTGCTCTGTCAACAAAGCTCCTTCAAACAGTACAACTCCTAATGCGCGTGATAAAAAGATCAAAGGCGGAAAGAAATCGGCGGCGAAGAATAACTGGGACTTCCTTATGGTGAGTGTAATGGCTCAAGCATTCACGTCTTGTGGCGCTGGTGGATGAGAAAATCCATGAAAATAGTTTACGTGCACTCCAGAACCCTGAAGTATGGTAGGTATGATAACGCACTTCATCTGAACGTGGCTAGGGCTGCGCTTTGGGTGGGATATTTTCAATTCAGGACAATTGTACTCATGTCTTTGCCCAACACAAGTGAAACAAACCACAATAAGGCAGCGTTCAGACTTCGCGACGGCAGCGCTTCGGTCGCGCGTTCGACGCGATCGATGCAGTCGAAAGCATGCGCATCGATCGTCAAATCGCGCGAGTGGAGCCGTCGCGAAGTCTGAACGCTACCTAACCAATCCGCTCAACAGAGAACGCAGCCATGCCTCAGGGATATGGAACTTGTACATGAGATGAGTCCATGATCTAGGGGTCGACGAAGATTGACGAAGAATTCTTCAGTAGTTCAATGAAAATTTTCTTCAGAAGTTCGCCCATCCGCGGCGAATTATCCTTTTTGGTTGCTAGTTTTGAACTCCATTGGTTTTCCTTTCCAGAAACCATCCACATCAAGTGGTAAATCCAGCAAAAAGTCAACTTCTCCGTCTGAAGCGACTAGCGAGAATGGATCCACCTCGAAGGATGAATCTCAGAAAGCGGATAGAGGTATTTTTAATGTTGAATTATACTATTTCGATTAGTTATATGTGGATGTTCTAAAGTTTCCTTGTCTTTAACACCTCTGTGAGGATTTCTGCATCGTTTCGTCACTTTTACACCGATAACCAGTAATTTCGTCAGTTTTTTCTGAATATCATATGGGGCAGTGTATCCCATGTTCAAAAGCTTGTTTTGGGAATATGAAAGGGGTGCCAAATAGACCATCTGAAACAGCGCACAAGAAAAATATATGACACACCATGTTTGTCATGCGGTCCGGAACGTGCTGAAGAATTGTTTATTCCTTTTCTGCTTGTTGTTCAGTCCCACTTTCAGTGGCTCCAAACACTGGTGTCAAAATCATGAAACTGTCGGAGTTGGAAACGGAACGTAACCGTGCCTTACATGAGGTTTTTGGACATAAAAAGTTCAAGAGTTCGCTTCAGAAGAAAGCAATCAATTGCATCCTGCTGAGTAAGTTATCACGTTTAATCAAAAAATATGCATGATGATTGCTTAACCCTTACTGGTGGCAATATTTCAAACGCATTCATAAAGAGGAACAATTTTGGAGCACTTAATGGCAATTAATGTATGTTTTATGTGTTTCCAGGGAGAACTGACGTGTATGTTTCTTTACCAACGGGCGCAGGAAAGTCGCTGTGTTATCAGGTCGTTGTTTGAACTGGAACCCCATCCCACCCAACTGAACTAGTAGATGAACGTCCGTCTTTCAGCTCCCTGCTGTCGTTCATATGGGTATTACTGTGGTCGTTTCTCCACTGATTGCTTTGATTACAGATCAGGTCGCAGCGCTACGGGTAAGTCTTACCCAGAGCTCGCATATTTTGTTGTATGCGGTAATTTTTGAATTACATGAGCTTTTGTTTCCGTTTTTCAGGCAAAGGGAGTTCCTAGTGAATCGTTGAATTCGAAATTGACTGCTGCTGAGAGAAATCGCATAATAGAGGTATGATTTTTGAAGTTGTTTTTTTAGTATCCTTACATGAGCGCAAACCTCTTAGGACCTCCGCCATAATGTCCCTACTGTCAAGCTGCTTTACATTACTCCTGAAGCTGCTGCAACAGACAATATGAGAAGGTATGTTATCGATTTTTCAGTGATAAAAGTGTTTTTTTAACTACTTCTGACCAGCAGTATTACTCCCATCTCGTAAATAACCTTCAACAACTTTCCACATGACTTCTGGCTCGTATTCAGAGAGCAATGATGTCCCTAATATAAGTTTTTCAGAATTCTGAGCTCGCTTCACAAGCGCAATCTACTCAGCTATTTCGTGGTTGATGAGGCACATTGTGTTACGCATTGGGGTCACGATTTCCGCCCTGACTACCTGAAGCTCGGTGCCCTCAAGGATGTCTGCCCTAACGTACGCTAAGTTCACTAATAATGATATCTTGTAGTTTCATGGTATTTTATGATTCAAGTGCTATTCTTGCTTAGCATATGTCTTATTATTTTTTCTCAAAAATGGTTTTATTTTTGGTCCTAATGTTGTAAGTCGCTCCTCAATGTTTAGGCGTCCACAATCGCCTCTCCCATGTCGTTTTCCATCCTGCGGGAGGGGTAGGGGTTTGTGTGAAGAGGTAGCCTCAGCGTCCATTTCTCATCAATTCCTTATTCTTACACTCTTTTACTCCCTTACCCTTAATTCATGTGAGGCTTCTTGCCGTCTTTGCTGCTAGAGTTCAGGCTTTTACTGCTTTCTCTTCACAAAACGATACAAAACGGAAGCTGAGCTATCTCTTTATTTCCAACCCCACCCCCACCCCTCTAATATTACTCATTTGTTTTAGGCAGGCTCAGTGATTTCTTCCTTTACTGTTGAATACTGTTGAACCCAGCTATTTTGTAGGTCCCTTGGATTGCTCTTACGGCCACTGCAAATACAAAAGCTCAGGAGGATATCGTTGCGCAGTTGAAGCTGGAAAATGTATGTTTCGTGTCTGATTATGTTTTTTGTATATTTTTCATGGATTTGACACTTCATGCTTTTTCTACAAACCTGTCTGATACATGTCGCGCTATGGTCTTCCTATTCAGGTCCAATCATTCAAAGCTTCCACATTCCGTGGTAATTTGTATTATGATGTACACATGACAGATCATCTTAATATGCCGCCTGAGGTTTGACCTGCTTATTTTCATGGTTATTCTTATTTTTCATTCACATATGATTCTTTGGCGCACCTTGGGCTTTTGGTGGAGGAGAGGGGCTTGCGAAGTCATGAAGTGAATTGGTTAAAACTCGTGAAGACCACTTTTCAACTCTTGTAAAGCAATGAACCCGACAATGGGAGGTGCGAAATCTCCCCTCCCCCTTGCCGAACTACGCCGTAGTAAAGTTCTATCGTTTTAGCGCCACTTGGCAGAGTTCATCCTCCGGTGTTTGAAAGTCCCGAAAGAGAAGTCATCTGATGTGTTGAAAATGGAGAAAGGATCTCGCAAACAGGTCGAGCGAGTAAGTTTATTTTCCGTATTGAACGAAACATTACCGTTAATTAGTTTTCATACAATACTAAATGGTTTCATTTTTGGACCTATGAAGGAAGTGGCATAATTTATTGTCGTACTCGTGACGAATGCGATCAGGTGGCCCATATGTTGAGCATGGTCCATATCCGCTGTCTCGCCTATCATGCTGGTTTGTCAAACAAGGTAAAGTTTTGCTATTTTGGGTGTTCTTCGGGTTAGCGGGGGGGGGGCACTTTGCACATTCGCTAGTTTCTCTTGCTAGCTCCTGCTGAATTACTTTCATCTTGAAGAGACTTGTCAAGCCTAAGCGGAGCGCTATTGCATTGCTTTGCAAGAATTTACTCATAGAAGGCACCGACATGACACGACAGTGAGCGATGAGAATCAGCAAAGTGCCCACAACAACCCGAACTGCTCCTTATTTTGTATTAATTTTGAAAGTATGAACCCATATCCGCTACCGCGTCGTTCTTAAAGGCACATTCCGCGATAAAATAAGGCTATGACCTCTCAAATGTGTCGGACGATCCGGAAGGCGATTTTTGAGGCTGCGCTACTTTCAAAATGTGAAAAACGGCAAGAACTCCGCTAGAAGCTGACTAATTAGGCCCATGGACACCCTTAGGCCCATGCCGACCCTCACCGGCTGCTAGCTACTAGCTAGTAGCCACTATGTTATCTTTCTCTATAACATTTCGGACTGCTTTTTCTGCTGCTTTTCTCCGCTAATCAGATACTTAGCACTTTTTTGTGGCCTATTTGGAGTTCCGTTTCCCGAATTTGGGTCGGTCGCGAATCTGTGGCCTTTATGAGAACCTTCCCTTACCTGTCAACCTTTCAGGATTAGGGAGTCTTGGAAAGGTTTTCATTGACGGATCCTGGAAGTGGTGCAAATGATCAACTAACTAAGAGGTCATGCTTCAGCACCGTAATCTCACCTTTACAGTTACGTGATGATGTCCAGAGCAAGTGGATGAAGAACGAAGTTCCTGTGATATCGGCCACGATCGCGTTCGGAATGGGTATTGATAAACCAGATGTGAGGTGAGTGAAGGTACAAGGCCCTTCTTTCTTTCTTACGATGGACGAACTTTGGGCAATCCCCTTTTGGTCGTTAATCTACCCCCCCCCCTCTTGCGTTTGCTGTGACTTCCGTCATTCTATATCCAAAAGATGAGGAGGGCGTGGCTGCGTAGTATGTTTCATTAAGAAGTAGGATGCGTTCCTTGTGGATTTTTTTTTTCATTCGAGACAAGTGTTGTCCGGCCCTGAGCTGGACAAAGGCATTATTACAATTGCCCCAAAATTAAAATATCCCTCCGAAAGCGCAGCGACCACCACGTTCGAATGGAGTTTACCGCCACGCCCACTCCAGCTACGGGATATGGCGTTTGAACATTGTAGCGGCATTTGAATGCGTGATTAGTTTACAGAATGTCTTCTGCGGACCAGTCAATATATGAGTCAACGCTCCCGTTTTCTCGGACCATTCCAATTCCCCCTACTTAAATGTTGGACGGCTTGGTTAACCTTGATTTGGCCCACCAAGGTTTGATCGATGAAAATGTATGTTCTAATGGCGCTACTCATAAATCCGCTCTCCCCCCCCCCCTTCACCGCTTTCATCCAGTGTTCCTTAATTAATCTCACGCTTTATGAAAACTTACCCCATTTAGATTTGTTGTCCATTGGACATGTCCGCAAAACCTGGCCGCCTACTACCAGGAATCTGGAAGAGCTGGACGTGATGGTCAAAGAAGTTACTGTCGCATATATTATAGCCAAGCTGACAAGGAGTTTCTTCATTTTCTAGTCAGAAGAGATCTGGCTTTACTGAAGGTGAGACATTCTGTGTTTTGAGTTTTCTGGCTCGAGCATCTTATTTACTCGGAAAATATTTTCACTGAAGTCTGGTTAACAAAGTTACATTTGAGGCAAAGAAAATATCGGAGATTGCTAAAAAGCAACAAGCAACGGCAATACAACATGGGTTAGAGAAAATGGTCGATTATGCAGAAATGGCCCAGTCAGTACGATTTGACATTTTTCCGCTTTTATTTTACTGATTTTCTTTTGATAAAGAATTCTTATGTCAGGTGTCGCCATGTGTGTTTTGCAAAGTATTTTGGAGAAACCGACTTGCCTCCATGTCGAAATCATTGTGATTTTTGCAAGGATCCTTATGGTACAATCGCTAGAGCGTCCCAGTTCCAGGTCATCAATTTACATATTCTTGATCAATTTCTTGATGGTCCTTTACATTTAATTGAACTGGGCCCTTAGGGCTTTGTGCATGCAATAATATTTGAGCATTCTAACTTGTAGACATTAAAGACACATTCCACGATCACCTGGGAAGGAGAGGGGTGGGGGGGGGGGAGAGAGGTGGGATCTGTGCATAAGAAGCGGGGTTCATAGCTGCTCAGGTTGTGCCGTTTTCGCTTTTTTTAAAGTGCGTGAAAAGGGCGCTGCGTATCGTGATGACTAGGAGCCGCAGTATCGCAGCTATTTTAAGAGGTAGGGCAGCACGTGGTTTTGATTAATCACCGCCGACCTGTGGAGACCTACAAATTCCAGCGAATCTGTGCATTAGCGGGAACTCCCTTCACATCTGAGAGCGGAAGTGCAAAATGTCCCTCCAAAGCCGAACAGTGCTGAATGAATACTTATAAACGTACGACTACTGCGTGTGAACGATTTTCTTAACCGCACTTATCTAGTCTCTATATGCAGGCTCACTGTGGTCTCCATCTCATCGCCTTTACATCGTGCTTTACCTGGGCTTGGGACGTTTTCGCTGATATTTCTGCTCCCTTTTTCCGCTGGTCAAGCAATTAAAACCCATGAACCCGTGCTTGGACCTCACCTCACCAGCCCGTAAACGCAGTAAGAGTTTTTGAACGTTTGCGCACATCAGAAGAGATATAGATTATCACGATTTTCTTTAAGAATTGTTTTTAAAACTCGTGAAATTCCAGGCTGCTTGCTCTTCCACCAAAATGATGAAAGCGTCCAAGGGAGACTTTGAAAGCGGAGAGCTCTACGGTGGAGGCAAACGGTACGGCGTGGTTCATATTGAATTTATGTATTTCAAATCTAGGATCGTCTGATTCACATTCCCAAACTGACTCCTTTCAAGGGGTCACGATGATGGCGACTATGAATGCAACAGTGGGGATGCTTGGGAAAGACTCGAGAAAGAAGAAGCGTCAAGGTCGCGCGACATTGTCCAAAGCGAGTTTGCAAAGCGCCGGAAGGTGAGTCCATTTCACAAGCCATGTTAGTTATCATTACTGACAGGGTCTACCTCAGGTTGAGAGATCAAAGGAACCGGAACTGAAAGAGGTATATATCCCCAGCACAGAGTACCCGATTAAGGAACCGAAGGCGAAAACTATTCCGAACCTCGCTCCTCAGGTACTGCTTAAAATGTAGTGAATTGTGGAAGTTGGACGATAAATCTAGCGTCCTGGCCCCTAAACCTCACTATCAGGGGTTGTGTTTCAGCGACGAGAAGAAATGGTCCGTCTCATAAGTCAAGCACTGGACGCGAATTGGTTGTTGTTCGAACGCCCATGTGAAGCAATAGAGGCGGCCTCTTCGTTGGAATGGACAATCTATAGAAATGCAAAGACGTTGACGACTTACCAACATAAAACCGTTGCTAAGGTTGGTTATGTTGACTAAGATTGGGGTTGAGGTTGCGGTGACTTCCGCCATTGACATGAAAGGGGGTCTTATGATAGTCATCCGACCTGCTAATAGACTTCCATCCGACTACAGTACGTCATTCAGGTCACTGAAATCAAGAAACTAACAAAGGAATGTGAGCAATATGTATTTGAACGTGAACCAACGGCATCGTCATCAACATCGTTTGTTTCGGCTATCACCATGGTGAATTCGTAGAACTGTATCGACTGATACCGTATCAATTCATGCGGGATCAATTGTTTCCATATGAAGAGTTACCTTGTCAGTGCAGTTTTTGAGCTGGTAGTCATAAGACGTCACCTTATTACTACTCCAGCGCATGGCTGCGTGAGCCTCTATCATCAACCTCTTGCTCTTGGGGGAGCTGTAGCCCTGACCGCTGTGACTTTGCACTTTCTAACTTTTACAACCTTGTTAAGTAGTAGAAACTCCACGCAGCTATAAAGAGTAATAAATGACCAGACTCACGTTTAATTGTTGTCTTTCATCGGCGCTGATCTATATGGGAGGGGCATTTTGCACTTTTGTCGGTTCCTGTTGACTCACACGTCTCACCTTGGTATGACCTGTAGACTCGTGTCAATAGTAAACAAAGCTTCTGCTATTGCATAGCTTTACAGGAGTTAACAAGTTCCCACAGGTGGCATAGGCATTGATCGATGGGAGCCAGGGAAATGCCCCCACCAGATCGAACTGCGCCTCTTTAATCTATTGAGCCGTAGTTCTTAGTGTATTGACGAAGTAATGAATCTGCAGTCTCGGTGATCGTGTTTCTTTATAAACTTGAAGCCTTTTTGGTTTTACTACGGCTGTGTCATTTTGTAATTTTTGTGATTCATGAGAAGCAAGGTGTATCTTTTCCATTGTGAAGCAGTAAACATCAGACTTGTTTTTTTTTGTTCTTTGAGCAATGAAGAACTTTCTACAAGGGAAGGATGATAGGTCAAATTTGCCGTTTCAAAAAAATGTATAGGCATTAGATGTATATCTGATGTGACTTTAGAGGGTGATTACGAATTTATCTTCCACATCTGCTGGTACCTTCCCGGACCGAGAAACGAGTTTTTGGAGATGTCGGGAACGCACAGCCACCGTTGTGATGACCACAATGGGGGTCGTATTTGATTTAGGGGGGGGGTCGTATTTGGTCGTTGTTGAGAGAGGGACTGCCAAAGATCTATACAACTACTATTTCCGATAGTTGAAAATGATAGTTAAATCCTGACGACCTCCGCTCGACAGCAAAATTTTGGGGAAAAACCAGAAGGAAATTTCGGAAAAACTGGTAGGAGGTTAGGGAAAATCTGAGAAATTTTCCTGTTTCACATTGGGTATATCCCCCTCGACGAGAAATTCTTGGTTG